TATTTTTTATTATTTTTATTTGTTTAGTTTACTATTATTATTATTATTTAAATTTTTTATAATAATTTTCTATACGTGCAGCAATACGGCAAAGCGGCGGGTATGTGAGTGAGCAGGAATCTAAGTTGAGTAAAAGTTAAAATATATATCATAATTATTATTACGTTTTTCATATTTAACTTATAATTATATATATAAGTTGAGCAAAAGTTTAAACGTTTTTTAAGCAAGGTTTAAGTTGAGGACTCAGGAAGTTAACCGCTGGTCTTTCGTTCAATTGGGAGGATTCTTTGGGGTTTCAATTGACCCCTGTTAGGGTCTTAATCTGAGCTATAAATAGTGAAGGGGGGCAATTTGGGCAAAATGACGAGGTAATGTGTCTCTACACTTTATGGGGGATGTAATGTACTTAATTAGTTCATTAATTAATTTAGTAATTTATTTATTTATTCAATATTTGGCTTTACGTTTACCAATTAATACTTAATCAATTAATTAATTAAATAAATAAATAATTAGTTAATTAATTAACAATTAGTTATGTTACGGATTGGTCTCAACCTCACCTCCTCGTCCACTTTCAGATTGATGTTGGCCGGCAGCGCCCTCTGGTTGACTCTTGCGATCTCGCTCAGCGCTGCTAAACATTCCTTCTCGCGTCTGTTGACAAACAGCCAGCGGGGGGACTCCGGAACGAAGCTGCAAGCGTGTGTGCATCGTCACAGGTAAGTTTAGAGGAATACATGACCCTAGGTTTCTTGCATATTTTCAGTTAAAATAGGTTTAAATTATACGATACATAAAAAATGTCACTGCTCAATATTCATTGGAAATGTTTTTTGTTAAATGTCGAATATTCTGTATAAAAAGGTCGAAATATTACCTGTTTCAAGTAGACCGTTGTCAGACACAAAATCAGTGTTAAAGTTAGTCTAAACATTGAACAACGCGGCCCCGTTGTGTTTGCCCTATGTAGGTGCATCCGTGCGCATGTGCGTGCTTGTAGTGCGTGCGGGGCCGGTGCTGTGCGTCTTGCCGTTGTGTGCGTGCGTGCGGGCGTGCGTGCGCGTGCGTGCGTGCTTGCGCTGCGTGCGTGAGGAGACGCTGTGTGTGTGTGTGAGCACTGTGTGTGTGTATGTGTGTGATGTCTGTGTGTGTGCTGTGTGCTGTGTGTGTGTGTGTTTGTGTGTATTAGGACGAGGTTGTAGAGAGAGAGACGAGCATGCGTGTCGTCATTGTG